ACCATTAGGATTTTTGGTATCTCGTCTCCTCTTCTCCCACATGTTTGTTCCATTTATTTGTTTCAGATTAACCCTTTCGTGAGTCATGGGAGGGAACACGGCCACTACTGAATCCTAATGCATATTCTCAGAGTCTCTAAGCAAAGTACAAAAGGGCCCCTCTCTCCCAGATCCAGTTAAGAGATTCCTGTGAAGGACAGTGATTGGCGAGGGTTTATGTGCTCACCCCTGGGACCAATCTGTTGCATGAACGGGTGGATAAATACCACGGCTGTGGCCAAGAGGGTGAAATCTGTTCATAAAAGAATAGAAAGGAAGCTGAGCAGTGTGAACAGGGAACTATCTCTTCCCTTCCATCCAGAGGAACGTCCTGGGAGACTGACCCTTTGCCACATCAGTTGTCAGACACGGGCACCCCTAGTCCACCAGAGTCCTCTCCCAGGGGTTTAAAACTGGGCCATGGATGCCAGCTTGGTCTGCGGCTTGCTCGTACTGAGAAGCTATTGGAGGAGCCATGTCTTCACCGTCAGGGTGGGAGGATCAAGAAATAGAAAGAGCGGGCAACAGCACAGGAGGGAGAGGAAGCGGCAACTTACAGAGGGAGGCAGGGGCGAAGGGCTGAGCATTTTGACGGAATCCGTGTCCTGGTTCCAATGACTCTCGGTGTCCAGCCACATCCCTGCTGCCAGCTCTGTGTAATACCCCCTGTCCACATAACCCCCCTTCTCTTAAGGATGCTCAAATTGCCCTTCCATTGCTTGTAACTGAAGCATTTTGATACTCTACCTCATCCTAACCAAACAAACAAACAAAAAACAGCCAGAACCCTGACACTCTGACACACAGCGGAGTGGCATGGTTAAATGGGTGGATTCTGGCACCAGCCTTCCTCGGTTGAATCTGAGTTCTGACTCTTACTAACTCTGTGACATTGGTCAAGTTACTTGGCCTCTGTGTGTCAGTTTCCTCACTTGGTAAAGGAAATATTAATAGTAGCTACATTGTAGTGTTATAAGAATTAAATGAGTTAATCCACATAAGACACAGTGGATTACTGGTACGTAAAATCGCTTAATAAACATTAGCTATTATTCATAGTAAGAATGGGCAGTAGTGTCTGGGAGACAGTGTAGCCAGGGATCACATTTCCAGCTTGTTAGATGTCGAACCCTCTGGCCACCATTCCTCTAAGAAAGTTGAACTTTACTATAATGCTCGTATTGGGGTATAAGGATAAAACCCACCTCTGACACTGTCATTTTTAAAATACGAGATCAGAGTGTCAACGCATATACAAAGAGTGGATGACGAGGCCTGCATATGGCTTCCTCTGTGTGCTCAGAGATTCTTTATGATGAAAACCTGCGGTAGTATTCATACATATGCAAATGCAACAACACAGAAGAGAATGAAGAAAAGCCAAGGCGGGGAAATGTCAAGCAACAGACGCCTTTAAGGCAGCAGCATCTCTACTGTCGGAAAAAGCGGTGTCTGGATGTTGGGGGGTGTCTCAACTAGCCTTCGGTTCATTCCAGCAGCCAGTAGACAGTTAACGCAGTGACACTGTTAGCTTAGCTGACTTTCACTTTGAGTGAACTACTTTGGGGAAGAGCTGAAAAAGAGCGGAAATGAAAGAGTTAAAGATCGAGAGCAATTTTTTTAAAAAACAAGAAATTAGATTTTAGAAAAGAATGAAAGCGAGGGGGCAAAGAACAGAAGAGAATCAAATCCCTTTGGCACTGGCATCTGGCTGGCCTTTTTTACTTCAGATTTCTGACATTCGTAAATAATACATAATCAGATCTCCCGTTCTTGAGGGTGAGCTCCTTGAGGTCAGGATCCAAGCCTGAGCTGTCTTTGTCGCCCACACAGGGCTCACCCTTGTGCCTGACCTACACTGGGACCCAATTGTTTACACGTGCCAATCAAAGGATAAAGACCTAAAGGAATAGGACAAGAGTAAACAGGGTGATCATCCGAAGGTTGGACTTAAAGTCCTCAGAACTGGAGCATCGCTAGGGGATCTCCCAGATGATATGCGCAGGCATTGATGGTTAAGCTGAAAACCTGGAAGATTTTAGCCGTGAAAATGCTGTTATATTAAATCTGGTCATACTTTGCTTCAATGAAACTAGACTTTCCACAAAGAAAGTTCCTTAACGAGTGATGCCTCTTCCACTCTTCCATGAGCAAATTCACACTGCTTAACACACTCTATGAGAAGCTTAGGATATTTTACATTTATCTTGCATCCATTATAGGCTGTCAGAATCCCTTTCTGGATGTTGCTTTCCAGCAAAGCATGCTAAATCCTTTAGACACTCATTGTTTACCAGAACAAATAAAAACTCTTCTTTTAAGAGCCATAATTTATCTTCAGGATATTCAGACAACCTTATTTCCTCCTCCTTCTTATTACTCCTCCCCCATCCACCCATTTCCCTCAAGGTCCTGGGACACGTGTAAGCCTCTACATCATTGACTTTGCTCTTTACCAGGACGCCCACCCCCCATTGGCTAATTTAGGAATTAATTACACATCTTTTCAAATTATTCTGTTTTACATATTCTAGTTGAGCCAACCTGCACTGTCAGCTGAAACAAAGACTGGACACTGGAAGGCAGTGGGTAAGGACACAGACACTAGAGTCAAATGACCTGTATTTGATCCCAGGCCTTGTCACTAACTAGCCTGGTGTCCTCAGGCAAGTTCCTTAATCTCTCTGTGCCTCAAATTCCTCATCTGTAAATGAGGATGGAGGTGCTAAGAGTAGCTACCAATAACTCTACTGAATAGGGTTGTTGGATTAAAATAGTTACAATATGTGAAGTACTCAAAAGAGTGCATGCCCATAGCACTTTGAAAAGTTTGTGCTTATTATCTCCCACAGAGCCTAGCACCCTGCCGTACAAATGGTTCTATCAATGCAAACACGTTCATTTCCATAACTTTTTCTTGCCTATGTAGTAGATGCATAATATATAACAATTAGAAAATACACAAGGTACGGAAAATATATAATAAAAGAAAACCACCAGCAATACCACTGCCCAGAGATAATACATTAGTATTTTTATATGTTCTATTCATTAATTAAACAACATTTACTGAGCAGCTAATACATAAGAGGCTTGATGCTCTTGCAGGAGCTATCATGTCTATAATAAATAGACACAGCTCTTGCCTCACGGTGTTTACAGTCTAGTGGGGGGAGACACACCTTATCAAGTAATGATATAAACGTGAAGCCACAACTGCAATAACACTGTAAAGAAGGGGCACATGTGTAGTAGAGATCAGACATAGTTGTGAAGGTCTGTTATCCGAAGGTTGTAAGGCAGTGACTACTGAGCTGAGAATCAACTCATAGGCATTAACTCAGGAAATTCAGAAGGCAAGAGTGTGCCCAACAGAAGCATAGTAAATCCAAAGGCCATGCTGAGGGACAGGGCATGGTGAGCAGAAGGGAGGTGGAGCGCGACAGCGGTGGGCACTAACAAAGCTGCCGAGTCAGGGAGAAGGCAGACTTAGCGAAGCTTAGTATCCTTAGTTTAGAAATTATATTCTCTATTCACTCAACAAATTTTTCCTATGAGCACGCTTACTTTGCATGAATTGGATTTATACCATATACTGCTTTTACCATAAATGTTTTTTACACAAATGTACAGTAATTTAACTCATTGCAAATAGATTGTTTCCAACTTCCTACTATTAGCAATGCCGTGATTGTTTTCTCAATATGGACATTTGCCCAAATATTTCTTGGCATAAATTCCCACAAGTGAAATTGTTGGTTCTGCAAATTCGTCAGCATATTTTAATCTTAATCTTGTTTGAAAAATTAGCATATTCAGTTGTCAAGATTTGATGCTATATGATTCTATGATCTTTTGAGGTTGGTATCACTGTTACATTTGGAGGCGTTCTTGGTGACTTTCAGAATCTGCTTTTTTATTTTCTTCAGTATATGAGGAAATCCCTTCTACTTCTGATCGCCACAGCTTCTTCCCACAAGTTCAGACCAATCAGTACTGGCTGCCAACTGAATTATCTTTTACGACAGCTCTAGAAGCTTGACTGTCCTACACCTGGGCTTCAAGGAGACTAGAGGCTTTCTCATCTCTTTCTGAAAGATCTTCCTCTAGAGACACATGGAAAGAGAAGGCAGCTTCTGAATTCCTTTCCTCCCCTCTGGCCTCCTGCTTTGTCCAGTTCCATTTTCATGCAGTAAATTTACTAAATGGTTAAAAGCAGGTGGAGCTCAGATAATTCTATTACAGACTAAGGTTTTCCATTCTACTGAATTGACGATCTCCCCTTTTTAATATCTATTTGCAAATTGTCTTTTTCTTCTTTCAAGTCCTTTTTATAACCTGACCCTCAGGTTACCATCTAAGGACCCATTTACTGTTAGGTCGTAGACAATTTCTAGGTTGCTAATGATTAACACTGCCAATTTAGTTACACTTTTCTTTAACTGGTCTTTGCATTCCATTTCTTCATTGCAAAAAAAAAAAAAAAAAATGTTTCCAAGGGCAGTGGGACTCTCTCACTGAAGCAGCCAGACTTCCTTGAAAGGATACTGGGTGTCTAGATAAAGCGAGGCTTACCATGTGCCAGGCACAGTGCTAACTGCATTACAGAGGTTATCCTTTCAATCTTCATGACAACCCTGTGAGGTAGGTATCATTAAGGTCCCCATTTTACAGATTAGAAGCTTAGGGAGCTTGTCAATCACCCACAGTCACACAGCTACTATGTGGGGAGTGGCCCCCATTTCTGCTTATAAACTGAGTAGTTGAAGAAATGGGAGGCGGGCCAAGAAAGAAAATATAAAACGGGGAAAGAAGCGAAGGAAACGTAAGCAGGCAGGCAAAAGCGGCCCCTTCCTGCTCTCCCTCCCAACCAGGGATGAGCCACCAGTTAAGCCCCAACGCCTCCCAGTGGCCGCCTCTCAGCCGGCACTGCTTCTGGCCTCGGGGGAGCGTCATTAACGAGCGCCGTACGTCGGCGCAGGCCACGTGCGTGCGTGCGAAGTAAGACGTCGGGTGGGGAGGCGGGCCTTCCGGCCCTGCGCAAGGCCATTTCCGGCAGGAGCCGGAAGACGGTTCCGGATGGTGGCGGGGGCGGCCTGTTTGTGGAGGTGAGCTGCGGGGCTGCCGGCCTTCCCGCGCCCGCCGGTCGCCTCATGCTGCGGGCCGCGGCTTCCAGCCCCCGCTCGGATCGGCGGTGCTGAGGCGCCCGGGCAGCACGCAACATGTCGTCGGGTCTCCGAGCCGCCGACTTCCCCCGCTGGAAGCGCCACATCTCGGAGGAGCTGAGGCGCCGGGACCGGCTGCAGAGACAGGCGTTCGAAGAGATCATCCTGCAGTGTGAGCGGCGGGCTGGCCTCCCGGGAGCGGGCGGGCAGACAGGCCCCACGAGGGCACGTGCGGCGCCAGCGGGAACCGATCGCCGAGCCCCCGGCGCCGCCCGGGGCACCCAGAGCCCCGGTCGCCCCGCGCCTTCTTAGATCTTTTCCTGTTTCTTTCACTTTATCCTCGGGCGTGATTGTGGAGCGTTTTTCCTAGTAACGCGTGTTAGTTTTCTTCGTGGGCCGACACCGTTCACGTTTGTGTTTGTAAATCCCAGCCGCTCACACAGTGATGTGTACTTAAGTCGGCAGGCTCCAGGAATGTCCTGTTTCTTGCATCGTGTTACCGAAACGCACGTTGACGTTAAACATTAACTCGCGCACTTATCATCTTCTGTGTGTAATGAGATGTTTGGCCTTTGATTTCTCAGACCTCTTGTCCTTATTCCACGTCGGTATTCTTCGAGTATTACACATTTTGAGTCTTGACGTACCTTCAGTTGGGACATTATAATTTTGCCCGTTATTGAAAACTTCAGTATAGAACAGGTGGTTTTCTCCCTCCCACCCCCGCTGCAGTTTGAGAGCAGAAATGTGTGTGCCCTTCCATGCGTTCTAATGAGCATTTCCTAGCTTTCCCTCCCCCCGTTTTACTATACAGTACAACACTTTTGGGGTAAGAAATGGGCACTCTTCGGTCCTGTGGTTCCATCTACCCCTCGAAGTAAGCTTGACAAAAGTCCCTCAAGTTAATTGATGAGAGTCGTAGTAATAGTAATTGCCCTTTATCGGGTTCGTGATTGTGCTAAGTCAGTGGTTCCCACACCTACCTACACATTAGAATGACATGAGGATCTGTTAAAAAAAAAATACAAAGCCCAGTCCACTCCCTAGACCAGTTGAACAGCAGTATATGGAGGTGTGGACATATATCTATTTTTTTTTATGCTCCCCAAATAATTTTTATGTGCAGACAAGTTTGAGTACTGTAGTCAATAGTTGGCATATATTATTTCACTTTATCTTCCTGAAAATTCTGTGAAGCAGGTCCTGTTGTTACCCTTTTTATACACGAGGCTGAGAAAGCTTACGTAACCTCTTGGGAGGCACAGCACATTAATGGTGGGGTCTGGATTTGACTGCAGACTTGATGGCTCCTAACTTTTGCATTTGTTTTTCTCGTTGGGTCCCCCAAGAAATGGCCCTTCCTTGCTTTTGCTGAGCCCATCCCAACAAAGATGGGAAGAAGAGGGAGATGATGTGTCACTGTCCTGTTAATGCCTTATGTACTCAAAGGCCCTTGCAGACCAGTGCTGTTTCAGAAAGCCAGAAGCACAGGCAATCCCCTGTTATTCAAATGTGATTCTTTCACGGGTTACATAAATTCGATTCTTCAGGTGTTTATTGAATACTTGTTCTCTAAAAGCTTTTGAAACTCAATTGGGTTGGAGGTCTGACTCCACCCCTTACCTCTTCACTTGCCTTTGAGTCTGTTTTGCTGCATCTATAAAATGGGGATGAAGCTTGCTTTTCCTGCTTCCTAAAAACAAAGCTGTGCATTTGAGTGCTTTGAAAGCCATCTACGTAATAGTCTATAAATGGAAGGTGCTTGTAATCACCTTGGCACGACTTGAATGTTTTTCTGCACTTTGGACATCTGGATAGGGTGGAAGGATGTAGGAGAAAAGTCAAGAGAGATTGGTCCTGGAGAGGGAACACGTCTTTAAAGAGCCGTGCTGAGTAGTGCATCCCTGAGAGGCTAGGAGAAGAGTCCTGGGCGAGAGGCAGTGAGGGGGCAGGAGAGCAAGGCCGCTTTTGCCTCTTGAAATCTTGTCTTTGGGCCAGGATTGACATTTCGGAGGTCACTTCTGGTTTGACTGTGCGACGTGCCCACTCCTCACTTAAGCCTCCCAGCCAAGTTCTGAAGCCCATCAGCCCAGCCTCCTTTTCTGTCTGTTTCTGAGCCTGAGGAGAAAGATAAGAGGTAGTGGGGTCGGGGGCCGCTTCGCCTGTCTCCATCCTTCTCTTTAGTGAGAGGAACTTTTAGGAAGCATCTCCCTTGAATACCTCCTGTCCTTTGGACGGCAGTATGACCACAGGGTGCCCAGCTCTGACGTGACATTTGAAAGATCTTTTTAGAGCCCGTTGACACTAGCAAATATCCAAAGTTGGAACCACTTCCCTGTCCTACGCTAATTCATGACATTAATGTAGGTTAGGAGAGTGTTTCCGCTCCTGCCCAGGATTCCAATTTCAGATAGCGAGGAGAAATAGAGCTTCAGACTCTTTAAGAGAAGAAATAAGCTCTTCCAACAAACATAGTCACTAGCATGGACCTTATCAAAATTTTGATCTTGAGCAGTTCTCATCTCAGACTTAGGATTTGTGACAGTCCCCATCAAGTGTAGCTATTCTGTAAGTTTCCAATGGTCACCTTCTTTTTCCTCTTAGTGCATTTCCACCCCACCTCCCATCCCCACACATGCACCTGATCTTGCTGCCCCTACCCCCCGTGTGCCTGTCATTCTTAATTGCATGTCATTTCTAGCCCCGACTTTTCTTTTGAATCCCTGCACTGTTTCCTGTCACACTTGTTATATTCAGAAAGAGAACTCATTTTCTAAGCTCTCTGCTCGTGTGTGCTCTGGCACATTGGCATCTTCCACCCAGTTGCCTGGGCAAAGAACCTCAGAATGACCTTTGACTTCTTACTAATAAATATCGTTCCTGAAACCACCTGCTTTTAAAATCTGTTATTTGACCATTGCCAATAAGAAAAGGTCTGAATTCCTCATCCTGCCCTTCCATGTGTTGGCTCCAACTGTTATTTCCAGGCACTTACCAGACACCTCTGCTAGTCCTTCTGGGCTGTCATCTTCACCTGTGAAACCGTCAGAGAAAATGAGTACAGGATCCCTCTTCTTTTTTATACTTGATCCTCCCCATTATACTGGAGTTCCTTCGGTTAAGGACTCTCATTCATATTTATATTCCTTGTGCCCCGATATAAAAATTAAGTTTTCCAAGTGTAATAATAAGTTAAAGTCCTTCTGTATTACTTAGAGGTTCATGGCGTTTCATTTTTCCATTGTGTTTTGGTATGTTTCTTATTTCTCAGTCCTGAGGTGTAAATAGGGAACTGGGAGTAGAAAGCATTTTCGACTACCTTTAATGGGGAAGACATTCCTGCAGGATTGTTGCCACAGGTTCTTTTGGCTGCGCTGCCCTGGCTTAGGCCAAGAAGCACCTAAGGAGTTTTTGTTCCTGGATTTTGAATGATTGCTATAATCCGTGACAAAGTATAGCACCCAGTACTTTGATGCCTAAAAAAAGTGAAGCCTACCCAGTCGTCTTCTGTTTTGGGATTTGCTTTTTTTTTTTTTTTTTTCTCTTTTTGTCCAAATTTTTACAAGGCATACGCAGTAATAAGGTATACGTAGGCTATAAGTAACTTGATTTCCTCTTTTTTCTTTGATAGATAACAAGTTGCTGGAAAAGTCAGATCTTCATTCAGTGCTGGCCCAGAAGCTGCAAGCTGAAAAGCCGGACATACCAAACAGGCATGAGATAAGGTGTTTTGAAACTACCCTGTATTATTTGTATCTCCTCCTCAATTTCAGTTTGTCTCAGTTCAGTTGTCACTTCTCTGATTTAGAATTACCGTTTCTGTGTTCCGGTTTTTGTCAGCTCCTTTCAAGTAACTTTTGAAGCCAAATAACTAAAATCATTTTTTTAAAGGCACACACCTACCCACCTAGGAGGGTTGACATCAGTTACGTGCTATAAGCTGGAGACATTGCTTAAGGATAGTAACGGGGCCAGTTCCTCCTCTAGCCTGTCAAGGCTCACTCTAAGTAATCAGACCAAAAAACATTCTTGAGCAGATTGATGTAGACCTTGTTAATACTGGATTGCCATAAGTTGCTTTTTATACAACACAGGCCTGTTGATTCTTTTTTAGTTAAGTGTTTTTCAACATATTTTAGTAAATCATGAAATTAAACTAGCAGGTTGCAACAAGCATTTTTTTTTTTTAAAGGAATATTAGAAAAAATCTGCATTTTAAT